TGAGATTGGTCACGCAAGACCTACCCACAACAAACCCATGCTGGCTATACCTTAGTCCTTTAACCAGGACTAGCTTACATAATGCTGACGACATGTTTAGGGCTCCAAAGTAGGCAGGGAGGAGACAATCATGCCTTTCCAGGAATATCTGTTTAGTTATTCCCAGAGGCAGGCTTAGCACTTTCAAATAACCATTATACAAGTTCTGGTAACACTGACATAGAACCTGAAGTTTCCCCCACTGAAGTCAGTGGCAAAACACTAATTGTCTCTTATAATATAATTTCTCTTATAATAATGTCACCTACTTAGTTACTCAGCAGCTTGTAGACAGCAAAAGAAAATGAAATGCAGGAGGGATCCATTTTCCAGGATCTCATGCAACCACAAAGAAGGATAATTATAATGGTTACAAACATATAATAGGCTCTTGAGGTAGCTATGTAAATTTGCCTCTGAATGGCACATTGTGTTTTACATTTCTCAGGAAGGGTTTGTGGTTGAATTTGCCTTTTCACTCTTTCTGTGAAAAGAAGGCAAATACTTCTTTCATGCTTTCCCGACTGACAGAACAGCAACATTTTTTTTCCAGGCCAAAGCCATCCTGTTCTGGAATGGGTATTTGACAGCTTTCATTGTACTGCATGCTTAGAAATCCTGAAACACAGGGCCACATGCAAAAACACATGTGCAGTTGTTGCTTGATTTGCCAACAAAGTTATCAAAATTGCTTGCACGCAGTAAGTATTAGTTTGACCTACGATGAAATCAAGGTATCTGTAGGCTGCTGGCTTTTTGTACATCTGGCTTGCTTTTAAAAAAAAATCAAAGGCTAAAAATACCCATTGGTGCTTGGTGATAGTAGCAGATATTGAACCACCTGGTGGCTGCTATATGGACTCTCTGAATCCTTGCCTGTAGTATGGAAACTTGAGACTCCCAAATTGCAAAGAAACCTATTTACATTGTTAGAAATTGAACATATAGGAAACAGCATACTGTTTAGTGAAAAGCTGAAGCTTTTCTGTTTAGTGAACAGCTTTACTGTTTAGTGAAAAACAGAATGACAGATTATAGTATAAAAATCTAGGCCTCTAGAACAAAGCTGACATGAGATCCCTAAGGAAGTAAGGCTCTGTCCACTCGGATGCTAAGCCAACCTGAAGTTCAGAATGTTTGTACCAGCACAGTTTAGCTCAGTTCCATGCATTTGCTTACAAGGCCAGCCTCAGATGGCCACTCTATATGTCTCCAGGAACTATGCCCAGGAACTAGAATTTACAGAATGCTGTCAGGGTGCTCCAGCTATATAGGATGATGTAATCCCTGCCCCATTTCAGTTAACTAAACAGCACAGTTGAAACCCACTAATGTTTATGCATGCGGATCCTACAGTGGCAATAAAATGCCTGCAACTT